GATTTTTCATTAATATATCACATTCTTCATTCCACCAATGTTTATTAAATTTCGAGTTGATCACTTTCTTCTTTTTGGGTATTGAATTTTCTGCTGCTTTGTTTAATTCTGCTATAAATTTATCATATCGGTTTATATTATTATGATTATTACTGTGTTCAATATTTTCAGAAAAAAGTGACCAATTTGCTTTGTTTAAATTCCATCTGTTTTGATTTGTTTTAATAATATAATTATTACTTTTGATTTCTATTAATATGGGAAAATGATTAGATCCTAAAGTATTTATTTTTGTTTGCCAATTGCATAATGTAACCAAATCAGGCGATACAATAGACAGGTCTATTGCCGATTTATTCTTTTGATTTAATGAAGGAATGAGCGTTTCCGCGCCATTATTAAGAAAAACTAGATTGGTATTTTCAATTGCTGAAAGTAAATTAATTCCTGCTCTATCAGTAATATCACAACCCCACACTTGGTGGTGACAATTAAAGTCACCCGCCAACAAAAAAGGTTTTTCTAGGCTTTCAAGAAACAATGACCAACTTCTTTCAGATATGTTTAATTTTGGTTTTGCATATATCGAATAAATATTTATTGTAAATAAGTTACTTACTTTAACAGCTAGAGAGACAGTCATTAAACCTTCAATACTCTTAAAACTCTTTGTATTGTTAAAAGCAATATTTTTTTTCAGAAGAATACCTACACCACCATATCCATCTTCTCTATCTGAACGAAACAAATGATACCCATTAAAATTTGGTTTCAAATGTTTCTTTAACCAAGTTTCACTTAAAATACTCAAATGAATATTATTATCATACAAAAATTTTTCTAGTAATCCTTTATTGTGTATTAATGATCTTATATTATACTGAAGAATATTGAATTTATTGTTGAATGTTATTAAGAATTGGTAAAATATTCGTTTTAATTGAATTTAACATTTGCTTATTATCTGTTGGTATATACTCTTTTATAACTTTTATAATTGATTCCATTATTGTGTTGCTCTGAATACATGCAGCATCAAAGTGAGTAAAAGAAGAAGTACTCGGCTGACTAAAAGGTACCTTGTGATACTGTGGAATATTTCTAAAACTTTCATATACGGGTCTAGAGGGGATAGTTGGAAGGGTTATTATATCTCTATGCTCTTGGGTTATAGGATCTGGTGGTAATGGACTTGTTGCGATTCTTTTTCTTTTTATATTGACTGTATATTTAGATCCCTCTGTGGGAGATTTAGTAGCTGATGCATAGCTTGATTTATGTCTATTAAGGGCTTCCACATAGCTTATGTTTTCTGTTGCCATTAAACGTTTAATTGATTTTTGTTCGGAAAATTCTGGACATTTAAATTTATCTGTAGCAGAATGATTGCCTGTACAAAAAATACACGAAGGGTTGTTTTGTTTCTCGCAAGTATCACTAATATGTTCATTACCGCAAAATTTACATCTTTCCTTACCACGACACTGCTTAGCTATATGTCCATAACGCAAGCATTTTAAACATTGTATTATTTTAGGAATATATGTTTCGACATCATAAACAATTTTTTCTATTACTACTTGACTAGGAATTGTTTGTCCCTTAAAAGAGACAATAACAGTCCCCGTAGGAATTAATTTATCCTCAGATTTTCTAAACATTCGCTTAACCTGTGTAACTGTAACAACCTGACCAAATTTACCTTTAATTAAACCTTTTAATTCAATTTCAGAAATATCAGTATCTACATGCCTAACAACACCTCGTTTTTGTGTGTAAAAAGTAGGTATATAAGCATCATAGTTTTTATCCGATAGTGTTTTAGATTCAGCTAATTTATTTGCGGCCAAAAATGTATTACATTCTACTTTCAATTTATTTCTACCAATTATGGAAATATTAACAATATTATGTTTAATTTCATTTTCAGCATTTAATATTAACCTTGCAGCTCCTATTCTATGCAGTTTACCTATATTCCCTGATTTGTTTTCTACAAAAACATAGTACGGTCCCTGATCTCCAAGTGAATAGTAATTCTTTTCAATATTTTCAATAGATATTTCGCTTACCTTGTTACTGCCGTTTTGATATTTATTATTTAGATTTATATTTTGATACTGACTTTCTTTCCTTCCCCTATCTGGTGGGATATTCCGATCGTCATCAATTTCCATCGTATTAAACACACACACACAAACCTATTAGTTCAATAGACCCAACTACAAATATTAACTAAAAACTGGTACTGATAATTTACACTTCCTAATTGCCTTCGATGTACACTCGACGAATGTTAATCGACAACTGTTTACAATATCTGTTTGTCCTTATATATATACACATTTTAGAATCTTGACAAAGGCAAGGGTTTCCTGCGGAAACGTTGATTAATTGCAATGGAAAATAAAATCTAGTTCCACATGTAACATATCTTTATTGAACCTAACCCAAGAAATATTAATTTTATATTATATATATACTCTTAAATATTGGGAAAATCTGCAAGAAAGACTCTAATGAGTATCAATTGTTTCGCCGAACGTTTTCGCCAAAGAAAATTAATTTGGCTTCTTCAGGGCTGAAAGAGAAGAAATTATAATTAGCTACCATATATTATCTTTTTAAAAACACTGGATATCTTACCGTAACTTAGAATTGTAGACATAGGATGTTAAAAAAAACCTAGCTAGTAACAACATAGTGGTTTTTTTGTTACTATGTGAAAAAAAGTTACCGTTGGAAATGTAAGGTTAGCTTTGGTAATGATAAGAACACAATAAACTTAATGTGGCCTGTAGAGCAGCCCTAACAATTAATAATCTTTATTCTAAGATCAAAGATAAATCTCCTATAGATATTGTTAATAGAGTGTTAATTAAGCATTTTACACTAAATTACATGGTAAAATCACTGACTTTGATAATCAAAACAATAATATAAATCATAAGCACGCCACTTTGATTTCATAAAACAAATCTACAAATTTAAATTAGACTTCTCACAGCAACCAAAAGTACTATGAAGCTTAGAATGATTGTTTTGGAGGGAAGGCACATTGTTGCAGTACAGCTAATAGCAAAAATGTTAAATACATTTACAGTTTAAGAATGAAAAAGGTATTGCCCAGACCTGGCCTGGATTCAGATGACCCCCATCACCCTAACTTTTATTTTTTTTCCAAATTTAAAAAAATGGTAAATATTTTTTGAAGTTCGGATTACGCCACTCAAAACTTATAAGGAACAGAATTAATTTATTTAAACCAATGTGATGTATGTTTTTATGAACTGTTTGGATTGACAACAGGCACAGTTATGCAATTTAGTCTAAAATGAACATTAGTTAAAGTGTACTTTAGGTTTTTATTATGCAATCGGGCGTTAATGTCGCTTCAAAATATTGATATGGGCCCTGATTCTATTTCATTTCGATGTCGAAATTTAAAAGCGACTACGCCATGACAGTCGCAATCGCTAGCGATTCTCATTCATTTCGATTTTAGTTAAAAGTGGGGACATTTACTTTATCATTTTGACACTGCTGAGCTCAGAATTTGGGTTGGCCGTCTTGTTTATTGGCTGCACGCTTTGTTTTGTTTGTTTACATTTTCGATTTTTGTTTCTTGTTTGAGTTGTTAAATTTTTAGTGGCCATTCTTAATGATTATATTTTGAATTGAAAGAAAATGGATGGAGGCTGTTGATGCTGGCACTAAATTGTCTGTGGACCAAAAAGAAATTATGATGGCTTTTGACTTAGTGGTTATATTATATTTTTAAATTTACTGCAGCTTAGTATTGGTATTACTAAAAACAATAGATTATCGCTCTAAAAATTCTTGATGAGTTTAAAGATTATTTAATATCTCCAAATAAGAATGTAGAATTAAAATAAATTATTACAACCAAATTATTTTTTATTTCTATCTTCCATTACAGCCTGTTAAATATATTCAAAAATTGTGGTTTCAAATTTAGTTTTAATATTGGGACATTTTATTTCTTTAATTTTTACACCACAGTATATTTTAAAAAATAATCAGTAGCATCTGGCTTGGGGCCCCAGGTACCGCAGTTCTATTTTTATAGGTGTTAAAATTTCGACCAATTATGTGCCGAATCACATACAATTTCTGATAAAACGCAGCCATATTAATACTTTTTGCCTCAGTTTTCGTTGCAACAAACAAAACAACACCGCCTAAAGTGAACCTAACCTCGCTTCTCCCAGTCCCGCTAATCATGTCAGATTAATTTCGACTCGAAATTAAATTTCAACCACTTTCTTGAAGTTGAAATTAATTTCGATAAATCGAAATTTAGTGACGTCCTTTGGTTAGTTCAGCTGAAATCCACTAGGCTCGCAAAGTCGCATTTCGACGTCGCCATATTGATTTCAACCTGTTTTCAGTCGAAATCTCAATTAGAATCAGGGCCATGATATGCAATTATTAATTGTATTTTACAGTAGATATGATAGTTGGTTGAAAAGGTATTTTATGGTTTATTTTATGGGATACAGTTTTTATTATTGCATCCATATAAATAGTAATGCTGCAATTTAATAATTAATTTTATTTACTATATACAATGTTTCTCTTTTAATAACCTCATAACCTCAATCTTAAATGTCAAAGAATGAAATCTAAATGTAAAAATACTTAGGAATTTTTACAGTTAAAAATAAATTCAAAACTTGTAATAATTATTGTATTAAATAAACAAGTTTAAGTCACTTTATTTGCAGCTAATATAAGACTAAGATATTAATAGTGCTAACACCTTCGCTGATTTATGCCACTAGTTGTCGCTCTTCGGAACTTGAACATACCGAATATCCTAAAACATTACACTATTACATGACACTATCTAAGTAAAGCTGAAATATTACGATTATAGGGCAAGCACATACAATAAAATATGCATAAAAATTAGTTTCTTTTTTGGGAAATTACTCTATCTTGTGCTTGAAATATAATACAGTTGTTTTATTTTTCAGATCAGGTTTATTTTTCGATCAATCAAGAAATAAAATACTTAATCAATACTTCCCAGTGTAAAATACCAAAAAGCAATCCATACAGCGAAGATATTATTGACTTTATTAATAAAGAACAATATGATAAATGTTCGACTAAAACTTTGCTATCATATATTAATAAAACGAATGACATTGTTACTTTACATTTTAACCGTAGTGCACAGAAAGAATACAGTTATTTCAGCATAGGATGCTGCTATTCGAATATTACTAGGATTAATTATGAAAAATTAGTGGATGACCAAATTAGGTAAGTAGTTATGTCTTCCTGATATCGTACTGCTTTTAAAAAGATTTATTCACTAATAGAAGAAAATTAACAATTTAATTCTGGAACATGAATAAACTACAACTTCACGTAGCAAGCTCAGCTCACAAATATCTCTTATAAAGCAAGAAGGACTCCATAGAAGCACAATAGCTTTTTGGTAAAACGTGGAAAGTCTAAAAGCTAAAATGATCTATTGGACAAATGTAACGGTTGTCAGACTCGTGATGGAAAATTGCCACTCCATCTTTTGCGCGGTTGGCCGATCCTTCTACCACGTGGTGATTTGTTCCCTACTATTTTAACGACTCCTGTGCTACGATTCTACTGATGTGATTGTTCCATTCTTTTTTTCTATATAGTGTCCACTAGTTTATATCCCGTATATTACATTTTGTTCTGATTTCGTCACTCCATATTCGATTTCATAGCTCTAATTTCTGTTGTTTCTATAAATCTTTGTAATTTCATTAATTCTATGTGTTTGGGCTATATCGTTTCTTATTTCTGCTGTAAACGCAATGATTTATCCTATACTGGCCTTAAAGATTCTAAATTTCATTTCAAAATTAATATGTCGGTTATTCTATATACTATTGTACCGAACTTGCTTATTTCGACGTAGCTCATAAACAGTTGCATCTCGAGACGACGATGATCTGTGCTCGAGAACCTTTCGGATGTATCGACCGGGATGGAATCAAAGCGGTAATGCAAATGAATAGAGGTGACCCAGAGACATTCCAGTTTCAATCAGCAGAAGAAGTAGTTCTAACGAAAATAATGAATGGAAAATTCGAAAATGTGAATTAGAATGTTTCCAAGAGAGTCGATGAAACGTCTCAAATTATTAAAAGAGCAGCTAGATAAAATGACGAGAAATTCGAAAATGTTTCTAGAAGATTCGACGGGTTTTCTCAAATAATCAAAGAGTATGTAAGAGAAGATCAAATAATTAGAGACCATGATAACCAATAAAAAAGTGCTACCACCAGTTAATATAGTAGTTTTAGATCCTATAGTGAAAGAGAGATTAAACGACACGAATCTAGAGATTAAACGACACATCATATGAGATTCAAATTGCCACCATTTGATTGAAACTCTTCTTGGTCCATATACCTTAGACAATTTAAAGCTATGCGACAGCCAATCACTGGGCAGAACAAGAAAAGGCGGTTTCCTTGAGGGCTGCTTTACGAGGTGATGCTGTGGATATCCTAAGATCGATTCCTAAAGGTCTAAAAAAATGTTACCAGACCTTGTTAATTCAACTAAACAAACGTTACGGAGATACTCATTTACAGCAAATCTATTAGGCAAAACTAAGAAGTAGAATTCAACGAGCAACTAAATATTTGCCAGAGTTTAAAGCAGATGTTGCTCGTATAGTGCAGTTGGCTTATCTGGAGGTCCGAGACAAAATTTTGGAAGAATTTGATGTAGATACCTTCGTCAATGAGTTGAAAGAAAGTAAATTACAGAAATCTTTACGACTAGCAAGACTGAAAGTTGTAGATAAAGCGCTCGCTATTGTATTGAAACATAAAACAGCTAGTCAAACTTCACGGAGCCATCGAGTAAGAACCATTGAAGAAGGATACGAACCTTCGAATATACGAACGAACGGATATTGAACGTCTGGAAGAAATGGTACGAAAAGTAGTTCGTAACACGATACCGAAGTTACACGAACCCAGGTATTCGAATGGGCGACGTATATACGTCGCTCATTCAAGATAATACAACAGTCAGAGAACTAGGTGAGGTCGACACCCAGGGGCAACCACTGACCTCGAGAAACAATGCCCCCATAGTAACTGTTAACATTACGTCCTCCGGTGGAATTCATAGCTTGTACATCGAGGGTCGTATCAATAATAGATGTAATCGTTTTTAATAGATACAGGTGCAACAAGAACTATTGCACGTCCAGAAGTAGTACGACACCATTTTAAATTATCGCCTGCAACAGTAAGGCTTAGAACAGCAACTGGTGAGATAATTAATACATATGGCTAGGCTAATATGTCAGTATCCGTTGGCTAGACCATAGTGAAACACACAGTATTAATTGCAGAGATCTCCGATGCGTTCATATTGGGAATGGATTTTCTAAGAAAAGTTGGGACTGTATTGAATGTTGTCAAGTTCAATGGTAAAGCGTTGCCATTTCATAAAGACAAACAAGATGTTTTCAGCTTATTAACTAATTGTGATGTTACAATATCCGCTAATATTAAGAAAATTCTTATGACCAGATCTGATGGTTACTGCCGGGAGGAAAGTTTAAGGATGGTCGAAGATGTGGACAATGCCGAGTTCCTAATGGCAAAAGCTTTGGTGAGAGTTCGAAATGTATTTTCTTTAAGAGTTATGAACTTAAAGGAAGCTGCTATTAAGTTAAGTAGAAGAACTTTGATCGGACAGTGTGTTCCCGTGGCTTCGATTTCTTCTATGAATAATAATGAGAAATTAATACTAAAGAAAGTATCCAAAGCATCTTGTTGAGATGGCGATTAAAACGTGCCAAGTTCTTGATGATGAACGAAATAAAAAAGTGAAGTTTATGCTGATAGAATTTTAAGATGTTTTTGCCATTGATTAGAAGGATAAGGGCAAAACAAGCATAGTAATTCATAAAATAATACCGGAGACGCTCAGCCAATCAGACAACAACCTAGACGACTTCCATTTGCGATAAAAGAGGAAGCCGAAAATATCATCAAAGATATGAACAAACAAGTGGTAATTGAACCATCAAAGAGTCCATGGGCATGACCAGTAGTTCTAGTCAAGAAAAGGGATGGTTCAACGCATTTTTGTATTGACTACCTCCAACTCAATGCGGTAACTAAGAAAGACAGTTATCATTTGCACAGAATCGACAATACATTGGATACTCTCTCTGGTTCTCATTGGTCCTCTACGCTTGATCTAAAAAGTGGATATTGGCAAGTAGACATGGAGCCTGCTGATCGGGAAAAAACCGCAGTCTCGATAAGATTAGGGCTTTGACAGTTGACGCTTATGCCTTCTGGTTTATGTAATGTCCCAGCCACATTTAAAATAATAGTGGACGCAGTTTTAAGAGGAAGAAAATGGAAATGTGTTGATTCCATTCCACTTTTCTTCTTTTGGTCCACGCGTTTATTTCCTCTATATTACATCTCGCTCGTATTTCCTCACTTCTTACTCTATCTCTTAGAGTTTGGTTTGTTATTTTTCGTAAGACTTTCATTTCTGTTGTTTCCAGCAGTCTTTGTGTTTTCGCCGTATCTGCTCTTGTTTCCGGTGTGTACGTCATTATCGGTCGTATTGTTGATTTATATATTCTGGTTTTCGTTTCCGTTGTGAGGTATTTGTTTCTCCAGATTGTATTGTTAAGATATCCTGCTGCTCTGTTTGCCATGTTTACTTGTTTTTGTACTTCTTCTTCCACTTTTCCGTAACTTGACAGTTTTATTCCCAAGTATTTAGTTTCCATCACTTGTTCTATTATTTTGTTATTTACCACTAGTTTACATCGTCTCGGTTTCGCTGATATCACTATCGCTTTAGTTTTCTCTGTTGAGATCACCATGTTGTATATGAGTGCCGTTTCGTCGAATTCTTTAATTAATCTTTATAGGGCATCTTCATTTTCCGCTGTTGTTGTGGCATCGTCGGCGTAGCATATTATCCTTATTTTCTCTTCTCCCATTCTCTATCCTCTTCTTTTTTAAACTTTCTTTATGATTTCATCCATTATCAGATTAAATATTAATGGCCTAAGCGAATCTCCTTGTCTAATTCCAGTTTCATATTTGATAGGTTGCGATAGTTTTCCGTTACATTCCGTTTTTGCTAAATCCAGTGATATTCCCTTTTCATATAATAAATGTATCGCGTCCCGAATTCTCACTCTATCAAACGCTTTCTTCAAATCTATCAGTCACATATATGCTGGTTTGTTGTATTCCAGCGACTTTTCTTTTATTTGTCTTATTACAAAAATTGCATCCGTACATGATCTTCCTGTCCGAAATCCTTACTGTTCCTCTTGCAGAGATATTCGTTCGTCTATTTTTGTCGCTTATTGTCCTTGCTTATTATTCTTGTTGTCAATTTGAGTGTTGCATTTAATAGATTTATTGCTCGATAATTATTGAAGTCTTTCTTATCTCCTTTTTTGAAGAACATCAACATGATCGTTCTCCTCCATTCATCTGATACTCTGTTCGTGGTGATTATTTTATTAATAAGAAGTTGCAGTTATTGTACAAGGTGATCACCTTCATATTTTAAGAGTTCATTTGGTATTTGATTTTTCCTGGTAACTTTCTGTTTTTTAATTTGTTTATTCCTTCTTTCACATTGTTTTCGGTGATTTCGATATTTTTCCCAGTTATTATATTTGACGTTTCTGGTAAAGGTTCTTCGTTTTGTTTTTTAAACATATCTGTCAGGAAGGCCACCCATGTATCCTCTTTTATGTGTTCTATTTTAACTAGTTCTTTCATTTCGCTTCTTGTCAATAGAAATCCATCTCTAGTCCTTTTGTGAATCTTTCCCAGTAATCTGTTTTTGTTTTTCTTACCAATTGATGAGTTTCAGTTCTTATTCTTTTATATTCTTCATTCGTTTTTTCTGACTTATATTTTAGGAAAGCTTTCTTTTTTTGGAGACATTTTTGTTTAACCTCTAGTGTAAACCATGGTGTTTTCGTTGACCACTTTTTGTTTATTATTTTCGTTCCAAGGGCTTCTCGGGCAGCATTCAGAATATTTTTCTTAAGTTTTCTCCAGCTAGTATCTACATTGCTTTCATTTTTGATATTCTCCATTTGTATTTTCTGTTCTAGCCTTTTTCGATATAATAATTTTAATTTTCTTTTTTTATTATTTTCTCTGAGTTGGTTTCTTTAAGCTTCTCTTTCCATCTTTCTTTAAATCTAATTTTACCAAGTACCAAATAGTGATCGCTTCCAAAGCGATGATTTGTGCTCGAAAACCTTCCGGATGTATCTATCGGGATGGAATCGAAGCTGAAATGCAAGTAAATAGAGGTGGACTATTCCAGAATATTCTAGTACATATTAACTTGTATATATAAGTAACGCTGATATTTGCTGAGTGAGTTGTGAAGAACTATCGTACTGTAAACTTATAAATAAATATATTTACATAAATTAGAACCGCTCGTTTTATTGAAACACGCTGAAGGAAACTCGTTGTGTTTGCTGGACGAAACCAAAGTTCAATGTCTATTGATAATTGATAATAGACAATTGTCTATAAGCAGAAGAATTTTTTTCCCTTTAAGATCGATATCCCACTTTCTTCTTATTGCTTGTTCAGATTAGTTCTGCTTGGTCTTGATGTTTCAGGAGAACTGAAAAGTTCTGCTAAAACATCAAGACGAAGCAGAACTAATCTGACTTGACAATGGCAAGTGTGACCTTGCCGAAACGTCGTCAAAACAATGGTTTTTCTAAAAACCAAAACTATTTAACGCGGAGTCAAACCCTGAAAACAACTAAAATCACATATAGCTCCCGCGGAAATTTCAAATCCAATATATATATATATATATATATATATATATATATATATATATATATATATATATATATATATATATATATATATATATATATATATATATATATATATATATATATATATATATATATATATATATATATATATATATTATGTTTATATACTGCAAATCTTCTATCAACAATCATCACTAGCAGTTTGAGAGTCAAACTGCCTCCCAATCAATGCACAATAGTCGCTGATGATTTGTTTGTGACTCCGAGAGATTTTAGTGCATCAAAGATGAGCCCTTTTATTGATATTAATAGCGAACCTGATAAATATTGTGGTATTTGCGACAAAATAATGAATTTACATTATAGAAAACGGCTCGAAATAAAACATGCATGTTCACATGAAATTAAGCAGTTAATATTATTAAAATGATTTGCTTTATAATCTTTGTAGGACAAAAAAATAAGACAGAAATAAATGTAACAAATATGACAAAAAATGAGGCAGAAAATCGGTTGAATGGCAGTTACCATACATATTCATCGATTTATATTTAAGATGTATATGTAAAGGTTGCATCAGTAAAAAAATAAAATTAAATATGCAGAGAATCAGTAGCAGCATCAACCATTAAAAAATGAGGTTAATTTTTTTTTATAAATAGTTTTATTTAAAAATTCGCAATTATATTGTTCCTATAATTCTAGTCCGAAATGAAGTGATAAATCTGAACTGTAGATTATTAAAATTTAGAAGTTCAAATCACTTACAAAATACACAATCATTAAATCACTTAAAACAAATTGAGAAGACTTACAGTTTAGAATATTCGCTTAGCCAATTTTTAATTGAGAGATAACAGTCCTAAACTGTCCTAGTTATACAGCTAAATCCTCTAATTACCAAGTGATACGACATTAAGAAGTCATATAACGGTTTACATAATTCGCAACCCTGTTCAATAATTAGATTTTTAATTATCGCCCTTTTAAATGCTTTTAATCGAATTTATGAGATAAAAAGAATCTTTAATGTTTTTTTATGTTTTAGGCTGACTGATTGCATTCCCTTCGAAGACTCAGTAGAATTAAAGTATCCTTACGTTAGTGTTAAATGTTCAACATTTTTTAGTGTAGTATACAGCAATGTTCATGCTGTCACTTTTTCAATCTCAAAAAAACCTAAGAAACCCTCCGGAAAACCAAAATTTAGTATTATGATGCTTGGAATAGATAGCGTGTCAAAATCTAATATAGAACGCACCATGCCAGAAAGCTTCAAATGGGCCGAAAGTAACATGATCAACCTTAAAGGTTATAACAAAATCGGCGACAACACATTTCCGAATTTGATGGCAATACTGACTGGGTATAATGTAGATCAGTTATCAAAATTTTGTAACCGTACCGTAAAGCTGAACAGTTGCAAGATTATCTGGGACAAATTTAAAGAATCTCAATACATAACAGGATATGCAGAGGACGATTGCAATATTAACACATTTCATTATGACCGTCCAGGTTTTTTAGAAGAACCCACAGATTATTATTACCGTCCTTACTTTTTAGCAGCAGAAACTTTGCATACTGTATTAAGAAAAAATATGATATATTGTGCCGGTCCTGAAACTTCTGGAGAAAGAATACAAAATGCAGCTAAAGATTTCGCTGTTACGTTTAAGGACGTTCCATCTTTTGGACTGTTTTGGAGTAACAGTTATAGTCATGATAATATTAATATGCCAGGAGCTATGGATAAGAAGATGTTACAACTTTTGTCTAGCACTGAATTTTTTGAAGCTATCAATAATACCATTTTAATCTTTTTTAGTGATCACGGTTTCAGATTTGGCGGTATTAGGTTTACACATACAGGATGGGTGGAAGAAAGGCTTCCTTTTATATATTTCAGATTTCCAGATCTCTTTAAACATTCTTATCCAGAACAATATAATAATTTCATAACAAATACAAATCGGTTGACATCACCCTATGATATCTACAACACTCTACAAAACATATTGAACATCGGCAATGATTCTTACGTACCATCGTGGAGTCAAGGGTGTCCCAGTTGCCATAGTTTGTTTGCAGAAATTCCGGAAAATAGAACATGTAAAGATGCCGGTATTAGTAAACATTGGTGTACTTGTCAAGGACACACATACATTAAACCAAATCATCCCAAAGTAATAGAAGTATCAAAATTTGTTGTAAATGAAACCAACAACATTTTGCTTACAACTAAGGGGGGTTCATTATGCGCAAAATACAGTTTAAATAAAGTTATGACCTCTGGTATGTCTGAACCATATTGGAATGAAGATCACAAATACGTCCACTTCTTTTTAGTAATGTTGGAAACAAGTCCTAAGGCTAGTTTTGAAGCTACTGTTGAAGCTTCATTTGAGGAAAGAAATCGTAGTTTTAAGCTGTTAGGTGATATAAGTAGAATAGATAGATACGGACCTGTTACAGAATGTATTACAGATAATGGTTATTTAAGGAAATATTGTTACTGTCGTAACAAAATATAACAAAATTAGATAGGTAAAAATAAACAATATTAAATTGGGATTAATTATTCCTATTTAAATAATTTTTTTGTTATTTTGTCTCAAGCACATATCTCATGGTAATATATATATATATATATATATATATATATATATATATATATATATATATTATATATATATATATATATATATATATATATATATATAATAAGGATCACTCAGACGAGTGGTGGGTTCAAATATCGGTCTACTAGGTGGAGAAATAAAAGGCAAAGTTAATAATACTTCATCTATTTTGAAGATGTTTCGCTATCGAATTCTGATAGCATCATCAGTTCATCTAAAAATTTTACATTATGAGAACCACACATTCATGAAGAAGATGTTACATAGTTACCTTAAAAAGACATGTAGTTGTCAATGGTATTAAAAAGTTAGTACGAAAACTCAAATAAATGGACATCATATGGTGATATTGTATAAACAGTCAAATAACTATCAACATTTAAAGACTTAGTAAAAATTAGCAAAGCAACAGAACACGTGGTCTAATAAGCATATAATATTTTATATAATATTAACTAGTGAAAAAGAACTAAGAAAATCATCGATTCACTTCCAACTATGCAAAAAATTATTTTATGACTTCATCTTAACTTTTGGTAGCATTATTTAAGTTATCTACATTGAGATATAAAAAATATGTATAAAAAAACATATAAAGTGAAGTTACCACTGTATGCTTAGCACCTGTTGCGATTGAAATGGCGTTAATTAAAAGATACCGAGCCAATGACATGAACAGACAGCCAGCCTTGAGGTCGAAAATTCTTCGACAGAACAGCAAGGTTAAGAGTACCAACCCACTAATTTAAGGGCGGTATATTTGAAAAAGTTAACATGAGTTTGAATGATGCCCTCCCGTAAGAGACCAAACAATGAAAGAAATTAGCGATAACGTTAATCCCCTGCATCAACCGGTCTAGAACAAACAGGTAGGCAAAATTCATTCAACTTCATATATAAAAGAGTGAAAAAACCGTCAACAGTGTAGTTGGATATACAACTATGACGATAGTTGGATAGTTGGATATATAACTATGACGATAAGCACCTAATTTCCAAAAAGTCCAAGGTCCCACGCTTGGAACTTTAATTTATAAGGTATTCTAAGAATGAATTGCGTTAATTTGTATTAAAGTAAAAATCAGAAATTCACATTAATCAATGTATGAAAAACGACAGAGTATGCAATGTGAGTTTGCATAAGTAAGTCTAAGTTAATTGACATTATTGTAATATTATATTTTATCAAAGTATTAATTATAGTAAGTTAAAGTTGTATAATTATTTAATAAAACAAATGTGTTAAATTGTAAGACTTTAGAGACACATACATAATGAACAGATTGTAAAGCCTAATTCTGCAAAATTAAAGCATGATATATTTGGCTCAAGTTACTTATGTCAGTTCTCTTATTTAAAGCATTAGGATGTTTAAGAATAGAACACATTTCTAAGAACTGTCTTTTACCAAGATTTCGCTCAGTGCCAAGAATTTTGACTTCATTGAAATCCAACGTATGTTTGGTGTTAATTGCGTGTTGCGGTAACGCACTGTGTGCTTTGACAGATTAATGTCACTTCGATGCGAAGTAAGACGTCCTTTTAATGATCTTCCAGTTTGACCAATATAACATGCGTTACGCTCAGCACAAGGTAAGTAGTATATAGTGTTAACTTGTTCCAAAGTGGACAAGGGTGTTTTAGTTTTAGAAAACAAATTTCTAACAGTCTTAGCATTCTTAACTGCAATTTTAACTGGTATGTTATTCTGTTTATACAGTTTAATAAGCTTCTCAGTAACTTGAGGAAAATAAGGCAGAGATGAATAATGGGTGGTAGGATTCTCAAGGTCAGCATTAGGCAGAACAATGCTATTAACTGAATTATTTGAAATGGTTCTAAGTTGGTCACCATTGGGTATATCATTGGGTATATATATATATATATATATATATATATATATATATACATATATATATATATATATATATATATATATATATATATATATATATATATATATATATATATATTCAGAGATTCTACAGTATTCACTGCCTTCCCTCGCTTAACCGTTTCCATCTCTCTCTGTTGTCCCATTCTCCATCGTTTAGGCCTCTCTTACTCATGGCGTCTTCTAAGAGGACGATTTATATATATATATATATATATATATATATATATATATATATATATATATATATATATATATATCCGTAAGGAAATCTGCAAGAAAGACACTAATGAGTATTAATTGTTTCGCCGAACGTTTTTGCCAAAGAGAATTAATTTAGCTTCTTCAGGACTAAAAGAGAATAAATTATAATTAGCTACCATATATTATCTATTAAAAAACATTTGATCTTACCGCAACTTAGAATGATTGAGTTAGGATGTTAAAAAACTTAGCTAGTAACAACATAGTGGCGTTTTTTGTTACTATGTGCAAAAACAGTTCTTTTCAACGTTGGAAATGTATGGTAGCTTTGAACGCAAAGATTTACCCAAGGTCAATCGAAAAACCCAATGTTACTACATTTAAAAGGAAGTCATTCTTTCAATTGCCGGCAATACCTAAATTTTTGATTGTTAGAAAGTTTAAATGTTGGATCAAAAAGGAGACGGACCAATTACCATCTTCCCTCTCTAAAGTGAACTGGATGTAGGGGTCATAACTATTGAAAGTGTCTAATAGTTCATCTACCTTGTCATTGGGTATAGCCAAAATGATATTATCAACATATTTTTTAATAAACGGAATTTGAAAAGATAGTAAAGGAATGACTGAGTCTAACACATAATCCATAACGTAAGTTGCAATGATAGGAGAAATCTTTGCTCCCATAGGGGTACCGAAAGTTTGTTGATAGAAATTTACCATTAAATGAGAAGTAAGTGTTGTTAAAGAGATTCATCAGCATCGTCGAATTTCTCTTTAACAACACTTACTTATCATTTAACTTGTTTCTTGTTCTAAGATTTTTACATTATTAAAGCTAAATTTAAGTAAGGCCCAATAGTATTTTCTTATATGTTACAGTCACTTTTGTCTTAAGTGACACGTTGTTTAAGCCACTGTTGACTTTGACCAATATAACAACTTTGATATTAACTGCAATTTATTCGGTAAATTTTATTACTCATTAGTGAATTTGGAGTTTTAGCTTTTATTTTTGAGAATAACCTTGAATTTAAAACTAATTTAATGTTCGGAAATATTTCGCAAAGTGAGACACTTTGGTCTGTTAAACTTTATTTGTAAGGTCTTTTTTGAATGTAACTGGTTGTAGATTGTTTACTAAAGTGAGAAGTGAGTGTTATAAATGAGTTTTTTTATTATATGTTTTTGCGTATTCATGGTTTAAAAAATTTCAAAAAGGTTCTTCAAATTGACATCTAGGAAACTCCGATCATAGATTGTCGTTATTCGATTTTTCGTAGATCTAATTTTGTTGAATTTTTGATTTCTAGGATGATTAGAATAATAATCTATAATTCTGCTAGTATCTTTTTGATACCAATCTAATATGATAAATCTGCTAGTATCTTTTTGATACCAATCTAATATGATAAATCTGCTAGTATCTTTTTGATACAAATCTAATATGATTCTGTTGTCATTTGTTCTTATGACTTTGGTATCTATTAAAGGTATACTGTTTTCATTTTCATATTCGAGAGTGAATTGAATATTTTGATGAAGTGAATTAAAGATTCTGTGTGCCACCTGGATATGGTTGATTGGTACACTGCATATTATGTCATCAACAAATTTAAAAATAAATAAAACTATAGAACTGTTATACTAAGATAGGGCTATAGAACTGCTTAGTGATGTTCTATATAGTTGTTTATAGAATTTATCACAAAAACAAAAATATGTGCTGTCAAATAATAATGTTATTAACGACAAGAAGTATTTTCTTGTCATATCTATCTATATATATATATATATATATATATATATATATATATATATATATATATATATATATGTATATATATATATATATATATATATATATATATATATATATATATATAATATATTCAATAGTTGAATAGCAGAAGTTTTATCGGTCAATAATTGGGAAATGAAAGTCTTCAACAACTTCATTGATTTATTAGAATACGTTTCGCTTTTATTTTTAAAAGCATCATCAGTTCACTACAAATAAAAATAAAAAAGATTTTAAAATATAAGTAAACAACCAAAAGAGTTCATACTTAGTTCAAAAACAATTTGTAGGTTTTTTTAAATGTTATAAAAACTCTACGATAACTTAAAATTTAATAACTAAACGAGAGAAGCGAAACAAAAAAATACAAGAAAAACTGTAAGAGTCTATTTAATTTTGACCGATGGCTTCATCAGGACCTGGATCTGGACATCTGGACAATTAGTAAACGGAACGGGGACAGACCTATTATTAAAAAAGGATTAATTTTTTTCCTTTTACTTAAAAAAACAAACAAACAAAACAAAAAAAAAACGGAAAGAAGAATGGGAGATTTTAACGCTTGGACAGGAACAAAAATAAATGACAAAGTCGTAGGAAAATATGGTGACGCTAAAACAAATGAAAATGTGGAACACTTAATCGAATTCTGTGAACAGCACTCTCTGATAGATTATGTCATCACAAAACAAGAAACACACATACAAGTTGAAGACATAAGAGTACTAAGAGGACCGGAGTGCGGAACAGACCACTATATGGTAAGATCAAAATGTTACCTACAGTATCGACCTCGGCTACTACATCAAAATGACAACCAACTAGCTCAATCAAAACCCCTGGAATCGAATCTACCTAAATACAATATTGATGCACTGCAAAACGACTCGACATCATTCTTATATAAGCTGCGACTTAGCCTAAAATTGGCAAACCTGATCTACTCCTCAGCCCAGAATACCTATAAAGAGATAATCGATAAAATCAATGAAGCAGCTTACGAAGCGCTCGGCACAATCCAAAAGAACAAAAAGAATACTCCATTGTGATGGACAAATGACATCGCCAATGCAGTACACAACAAGAAACAAGCATATCAAAAGTGGCTGCAAACAAATGATCCAGATGATAGACGAACATATGCAAGATTAAACAGAGAAGTAAAAAACTTAGTAACTAAAGCAAAAAATATTTCCTGGGAAAGTAAATGCGAAGAACTCAACAAATATATAGGGTCAACAAGATCAAGAGAAGCATGGAAAACGGTAAAAAATCTGAGAACAAACAGAAAAGAACAGAAAAGAAACGAGTAGAATAGATTTAATAGAAGAAAAATCTTGGATCGAACACTACTCACAACTTTTAACTGAAACAAGACCTCAATTCACGAACATCAGTACAACAACATATGAACTGGAATTCAGTGAAGACGATGAAATAACAGTACAGGAAGTCGAGAATGCAATACGAACTCTAAAAAATCGGAAGTCATGCGGACCACAAGGTATACCAAATGAATTATTAAAACATAGCCCACAAGTATTACGGGAATTACTGGCGTATGTCTTCACCTTATTCTATAATGGACACGACTTACCACCGGAGTGGACAAAAGCACATATTAACAACATATACAAAAAAGGAGATAGAAAGAATTGTTCAAACTATAGGGGGCTAAGTGTCATAAATTCACTCTCAGGACTGTATGGAAAAATAATAAAAAATAAAATTGAAAAAGAGATGACAGATGTAGAAGAACAGAATGGCTTTCGTGCAGGCAGATCCTGCATGGACAGTATATTCTCTCTAAAGCAAGTTATCGAAAAAAGATTAGCCCACAACCTTTCAACTCATATAGTCTTTATAGATCTGACAAAGGCATACGATAGTGTACCACTTTCAATGCTTTGGGTAGCAATGGAAAAACAAGGAATAAGCAAAAAAAATATACAAGCAGTACAACAGCTCTACAAAAATATGACGGCAAACATTAAAACTGGAAATAGATTAACTAGAGAAATTCCTATTAGTAAGGGCCTAAAGCAAGGCTGCTGCATAGCACCTACACTCTTCAAAATATATCTAAATGAGGCACTCTCACTGTGGAGAAGAAAGTGCTGCAATATGGGCATCCCAATCGGAGATGATAGATTGTACACGATACATTTCGCTGATGACCAAGCCATTCTAGCTGAAGACGAGAGTGATATAAGCTACATGCTTAGAAAACTGGAAGATGAGTACACCAAATGGGGCCTCACAATTAATATACAAAAAACTGAGTACTTAGTTGTAGGAGAACAACCAGAAAGCCTACAAATAGAAATGGGAACTATAAAACCAAC